AGGCTCGAACTGGCTGACCACGTAACCATTCGCGCTGTAATAATTCACCAAGCGCTGTGCCGTATGCAGATGCCTGAGCTCCCGAAGCCGCACACAACTACGCCACTACGTCTGTGTGCTGGTTTTGGTGTTGAACTTCCTCCATTCTCGGCTGAGAAGCATTATGGCACCGGTCGTGTCACTTTGGCCTTCGCCTTCTTCAGCCATCAGGGACAGGCGCCGGGTGTACCTTATAATGTGTCCCACAGCACTTCGTGAGGGCTGGGATGAGGCCGAGAAGGGCTGTGCAACCGTGGGGCGTGCACTGCACGTAAATGAAGATGAGAATTGGATATGCAAACAAGGGAATCGCACTGTGAGGATGCTTCCGGAGCATGAAGTATGCAATGCAAACAATCTTGCCCAGCATGGACCATAACTCGAAAATGATGAGGTATCCTTGTGACACCAGTTCTGGGATATCTTCCATCATGCTGATCTTAAGGTCCTGCAGTGGCACCAGCTGACGCGACGTCTCGGTATAGTTGAGATATTTTCGGAACAGATTCACTCGCAGATGATAGCGAATGTTAAACCCCATCTCCAAGACTGCCATCTCAAAATAATCGGCACCCAGCAAGATAAAATTTGGCAGAATCCAGGCTAGCCCGACAGCAACGGAAGTGCTGTTCCGGTCGCCAGGAAACCAGAGCCTCTCGGCAGTGCCCGGAGTGATGTTGTCAAGCACCGTGTCCACTAAATACACACGCAGGAATATGGTGGACAAGTAGTAGGCATTGCCAAGCATTGACAGCAGCAGGCAAAGGCATGTCTTCCACCGGATCTCCGGCACGTGGCTGAAACAAAAGCCCATGAAGGAAAACAATAAAGACCACCCCACTCCGTACAACTCATCTTCACTACCCTCCTTGATCTGCTCCTCGTGTGTGTTTGAGGGAAATATGTCGTCGTCTGTGATCATCACTACACTCCGACTGCCAGCCGAATCTATGATGCAGTTCAGACCTCCAAACAGGACAACGTAAAAGTCCAGTGTGGAATCGAAGTTGTCATCATCAATCAGCTGGATCTCGAAGGATCGGACGCACTCCCCGGGTCCGAACTCGAGAGTACCAGCTGCACCATGGTACCTTAAAGCTGCAGAATCCTTCAGAACTAGCCTCTTGCCAGTCTTGCACGTTAACACCTATAGAACCTGGCGACTTTGGAACGGTCAGAAATACAAACCCAGCTTATCATCTGGCGTGTCATTTTATGTGTCAAACAGCCGAACCGACACTCTGCTTGAGCGGGATCAGATCTTCAAGTGAATTGCATTTACTGCCTGCAGACCAATTTAGCTGGCAAAGATCCGCGAGGCCAGTCAAACCCCGAGGCAAAACATCGCGGACTCGAAGCTAGACAATCATCAGCCACACTGGATGCAATTGCAGGCATAGTCGCTTCTTGCCATCATGAGCTGAGTTGTCTTCTGTCTTCCACTGGACTGAGCATTTGCCATATAGTGACCCAATCCGTACCACCTGGATAACCGCGTTCTCCTGACGTCTGGCACGAATGAATCGGCGGGCCAGTGCCGATGATGCGGCTTATCTTGGCTTTGTTCGACACTCCACTGTGTTCACAAGAATTCCCGAACGGAATTCCATGCCCGCTACGGCAATCATCGGGACAAGGATATCTTATAACTTATAACGCGTCCTTCTCTGAAGAGTAGAAAGTGTTGGAAAAGAACTGCACCACATCTCCGCCTTCGCCGCTCTGCTGCCGCCTGATGCCACAGACAACGTAAATCAAGTCACGTTGAGATGAGAAATTATCACCAAGATGCTGGCGTGTGACCAGGGCGAGGCTTGGTGCTATTAACTGACATCAATGTCAGAAAGTATGCATTCATGATGCTTCACTAGATTATGGTATTGGCTGCACACTTTTTAGTGACTGTGCTGGTGGTGAGCATGATGACGGCAAGGGTGACAGCGGCCACGACAACTGGGAAGCGTTCAAACCTAGCAGAAACTGGACATGTTTCGCTTGATGCACCAGGGGAGATGAAAGAACAACCACGACAACTATCTCATCATGTCTTCCAGCACAAGGCAGCATCTGCCCCTCGACTTCGTTTCATGAGCTCACTCCGTGAGAAGATGTAGCTCCTCGAACCATTAATGCAAGTTGGCGAGAAAAGTTTCAGCCGTGAAGGGCAAAGACCACTTCATGGGGCTGATGAGATTATCGAAAACGTCTTCTCCTGGAACCTCGCAAATGTCTTCCCCTTACGAAGGGTGAGCGATTGGAATTAGAGTAACAACAAGATATGTCCCGGTTAGGCTGATGCTCATGGGGGACAAGTTCATGATTTCTCCTTGGGAGGAGGCATGGGTGTGGTTCTACTTCTTTTGCTGTTCATGCAGGCTCCGATGAGACACGATGCACGAAGGGTCTGCTGAAAGCTTCAGGTATTTGGAGGCGACAGTAACAATTAACAAATGATGATAACGGTTCTAACTTTTTTGCCTCCTGCATGATGATACTTTACTTTGTCAGGTGCTTCCTGGCTGGGGAGACTTGGGGGGATTTTGTTCATATGTTTTTGCACTGCTGGTCAATTATGATCACTTCTAGTTCTGTGGGGGAACTCATGATGATACCAAAGACAAACACCATGGTGGAATTGGGGGCATATTTCGTTAATATTATGGGTATCAACGTTTACTTCGGGAAGGGAAGTTAAGTCGAGTAAAACAAAATCATACCGGATTCGGGAAGAAAATTGGCTGTTGTCATTATCCTTTTAATGCGCTTATTCTTTCGGGAAGGCATCGCAGGGGGCCTGGGGGCTTGTTGCCAGGGTTTTGCCATTCGTGTTCTTGTGATCGTTGCCACCAGCCGCAGTCACGCCGTTACGCGGTGAGAAGCCGTGAATGGCTTGGGGTTGTGTCGAATTTTACCTGCACAAGCTTGGTGATCCCCTTGTTGTCAAACCTTCAAAAACCCTGCGACATTGGCAGGAACATGGCAGCCGGTGGTTGACTAGACGGTAATTTAGTAAGATTACGCCTGAAAGCTGAAGGACGAAACACTCAGCGAAGCAAACGTTGATCGTATCCAGTAATTGCGGCACGGATAAACTCGGAATATGCGGACATTTCCATGATCATGGCATGAAGATGCTAAAACGGCACTGTCAAGATGGCCTTAAGCGTAACAATGGTGTTTTTTGCCTCCTGCATGGCTGAGCTCACGAAGCAGGGTTACAATGGATGTCCGTGATGATGGAGCTGGTGGAGAGGAGGGGGTGGTGACGACGACGAAAATTGTGATGATGGTGGTAGTGGAAACAGTTTTGGTGACCGCGACTCGGGTGATGATGCTGATGATGCTAGGATCGCGATAGCGGCGGAGGTGATGATGGATGTGGTTACACTCACCACGGCATAAACCACAATGGTGGCCGGTAAGTTAATCTTGGTTCGCGAGATAATGCTCATGCTCTTCAAGCAAGCACGTCTGACTATGACCCTTTCCTCGCCTGGGTGTTTGCGTGCTCAATTGGCGAAACGGTTGGCTTTGAACCTGTCCTCGGTTTTGCTTTGACAAGACTGACAGCTTGCTCTTCATGCGGAATCCCAGGAATCGAGTGCGTCTCTTCACAGGCCAGATAAGGCAAAACCAAGGGGCCAGCCCCAGGTGACTGCGAGACTTGCGGGGATGCCACCAGTGGAATCCGCTGATAGACGGCTCTCGCGCTGGCACCACTTGGAAATCCATACGCCTCTGACATGGCCTCTGCTTAGTCTGAGGACAGGGTCCAGAAGCTCCTGCTCATCAGGTGTATGACTCCTGAGGTGTTGGTGCGGACTTCTCAGCTTGTTGGCACCTGTTGCGACGGCTTTGTCCCATTTTGTCCCTTTGCCGTCTCGCTTCTTTCTACAGATGACTTGTCCGTCACATGGTTTCATGTTTGAGCCCTTCCAGCTACGAGATCCACAAGGTGGCCACATGTGGCCACAGCCCGTTTTGGGAGCACACATCCGGACGCCGAAGGCCCAATCGTCCAATCCACTGCGTTTGAGCTCCGGCCTTAACCATGGCACCAGTCAGGGCGTGGCCTTGGCCTTGGCACCGCACGAAGCATCTCGGCGGGACGTTCCCTACAGAGAAAGGCAAGGGCGCTTGCCGCTTCATCTCGGTCGCAGGCTGCCGCGCACCTCAAACTCGTACTCCCCCTTGGCCAACACTGCGTAGGCTCTCACTGCAAATCAAAGATTGACATCTCCGGCCCACTTCTCAGGCATGTTTTGCGCATCTTCAGGGGTCGCCGTGGCTTGTGGGCCACGAACTTGCACTCGGCTGTGGTTGTGCAAAGCCTGGCACCATCAATGAGAGGCAAGGGGCTGGGCGACCGAGCTTGCGACTCTTCCAAGCTAACGAGTGACTGGTATTGTCATTCCTTCTCTCCAGTGAATAGTAGATGTTTCGACTGGCAGGCAACACGAAAATCGAAGAGCGACAGACCTTTCATGGTGGGTGGCACATGAGCAATCATCTGAGACCAGGCTTCTTCTCGCAGGATTTGGGAAGTAAATCCCGCAGATTGAAAATTTCTCCACCCAACGAACTGACGAATGCTAACGACCAAGCCGAAAGTTCCAGGCCTTGGCCCAGCGCGCTGCTGTGCCCAGGCGCCGTGCAAGTCGCTGCAGCTCGGCCTATGCAGCTGAGTCGCAAAACTATCCCGCTGGTGAAATTCACCCAACCCGACTTGGAGCCTGAGGTGAGTGTGTCGAAGGCGCACTGGCCCAGAATTCCGTGGAGAAGCCCGTCGCCCCTGCGTGCAAAGTGTGGCAAAGCTGCTACTTAAAGAATCTTAAATAAGAATCAAACCTTTCAACCTGTCACTTGCTCCTATCAACCTGCGTATACAGCCGGACTGCCAGAGTGGACATGTCACGAGACTCCTCCTTAATTACAGAGTCAGGGGACCATGCATGACCTCATCAGTCCCTGCCTATTCTCTCCCGGCACGGGCAATCGTGAGCATCCAAATAAGGAGCATCCTCAAGGGCAAAGATTGGAGGAGCACACGCGTACGCTGTCCAGAACATGTCCTGGTCACGACATGTCAAAACCAGGTTGGCACTCTCCCACGCTGCGAAACTGCTACCAGTGACCCATCGTGTCGGACTACGTGTGGCTTCTTCAATAGCAAGGATCCATCCGCATTCACATTCCCTGCCTCATGAGCCTCTCGAAAAGGCAACACCGCTGCACGAAGGATGTCCTAGCAGGGGATAAATCCAACTTCAATTCTCAAATACACTCCGGTCGTGACGCGAGCCTCTGCAAGGCGCACTGCCTCGTCCCTTCGCGCATCGCCGAACACGGCCAAATCAGGACCTGGCGGAGACCCACAGCACCACCGTTCAATCCCGTCGCTGTGGATTGTGATTCTGCACAAGATGCAAGCCTGCATTCACCTCCAGCAGCCACGGCTTCGGCCCTGCTGTCCCGAGATCTTGGAAAACAAAGTCCTCGGCTGCAATACACGAACTGATTGAGGACATCACCGTGCTACATAAAGCTCCCGTGTCCACACATACAGAGACATATGTGTATGTGTATATATATATATATATATTATACACATTCGTTATATATACACATAAGTACATAAATGTGCCCTGGACCTTTGCGGTCTATGTCACCACCATTTACATTTACAATACTATCTAGCCTGGTCAACTATCATATTGTGATTACATACATACATTTACGCACACCAGTCCCGAGACAAGCAGCTGCGCCGAAGAGCTCGAAGGACTGTGGAAGAGGTGTGAAGCCTCAATACCGAAACAGTTTCGAGGACTCCGACCCGTGACACCACACGAGTTGGTGCAACGACGGTCCCATCGCATCGGCCTGGCGAGGCAGCCGCTGCCGTTAAAGCTTGTCCAAGAGAGCGGCCCATGTCTTGGAGAAGTGCCTGGGCCGAGTCTCAGAGCATGGCGTCTATATAGTATCTAGTATATAGTATATAGTATTGTATAGCAGAGTACTTCCCCCTTGAAAAAGTCGTCAGCTTTCGCCCGGTCGGCCTCGGACTCCAGGCCAGTCTCCTCAAAATGGCGCAGGTTTTGCTTTGTTCAATCTTTCTCGGAACTTCCAGGAACCTTGTCTGCAGTCATGTGGTTTAACAGCTTACCTCATGCACTCAATTCTGGAAAATTGTAGCTACAATATGAGTAGCGGTCGTCTGCCCAAACACATCTTCAATTTTGTGACATAGCAGTATAGCACATGCTGGCCTGCACCCTGGGTCAGCAGTGCAACTTGAATCCAAACGCTGCCAAGCACGGCCCCGAAGTCCTCCACCAGCTCTCCCCAGAGCAGCACCTGCTCTGACTCGTTGTATCCTGGCTGCGCTGCCTGCGAATGCAAGATACAAGTACAAAGGGATCCAGCACTGAGACAGGGGTAACGACGGAGGCCCGAGAATTCAACCCAGTTCTACCTC